AGAAAACATAAAAGATGTGTAAGTGAAAGTAACACATACACAGTGTGAAAGTGAAACAAAAACATATGCAAACAAGCCACTGAACATTGCGTCCAATTAAATAATTGTTTAAAACCACAAACACCTCAGTCAACTATAACTCAACCCCGTTCTGAACAAACCTGAGAAGTGATCGTCTTGTTTTGACTGTACATTTCTTGTCAGATTCCCGTCAACGCCTCAGCTCATGTATACTGACTAACACATCAAACTACCCACATCCTCAAACTCATGCAACACATACTGCAAATGTCCTCAGCACAGAAACACCAATAACTCAAAGTACAATTCAGCTACAATCTACGTTCATGCACCCTGACTACGACAGGGGGAGTTCTGTCTACTCACTGCTGCATTCTGGGGTCTGGTCATTCGTTTGGGGCTTCAGGGTGGCTATGTGTTTGTACCAGCGCAGGGCGTGGACATGCCGCTCAGGTGGGGGCCCGCTTAGAAGCGCAAAGGCTTCTGCATCCGCCTGCGAAGGCCCGTAGCCAGCCAGGTAACTGCGACTGCTCAAGTACTCATTCAGAGCCTCAACCCTGCGAGCTTCCTCACTTATGCGTAGTAAGAAGCCATAATCAAAGGCTGGGAAAACAAAAGGGCATAGACACACATAAACACACAGACGAGCAGACATTAGAAATGAGCTAAGGGCCCGTGGAGAATGACTGTATTGACACCTGTAATCCTCTCTAACCTCATTCCTCTGAAACATAAGCTGTAATAATCAGCTAACACACAATTGTGAAACAATACACTCACAACTTTCATAATGTCAATTAATTTAATAATTGCTCGAGTCAAAAAAGACATAGAGAGAGCAATACAATATTTTAAGGCAGACTCAAACAGATGGAACATATTTGGAGCACAAATAAACTTGTGAAGGGCCATTCAAATGGTTGCCGTGAACTAAAACTATTACAAATATTTTTTTTTTGTTAATTGAAATAAAGCTGAAATAAAATAAGATATAACATATTAAAAATGCATGACAAAATTCTGGAAAATGTGCGCAACGTGCAAAAGAAAATGAAACCTGTTATGAACCTGTTCTTCATGAAATCAAAACCAATTATGAATCAGTCGAGACTGAATACATCTGACTCATTTACTGAACAGCATATTATTATTATACAGCATATAATTATATATACCTCTGTCTGTGTGTGTGTGTGTGTGTGTGTGTGTGTGTGTGTGTAACATTATTTGATGTTATCTGTTCTGTTTTAATCTGATAATGATCTTACCATCTCGCAACAGACTGTATTTCGTTCCCTAAAAGACCAACAAATACTACCAGAATAATATAAACGTTAAGGAAACCGAAATTGGTAAATTCCATTCCTATATGAAATTATTTAACTCCTTACAGTATGTGTTACTTCGGCTGTCTGATTTCAGCTTATCTGTCAAAACAATGTAGCTAATATAACAATATGACAGTCACACGTGAATAGGAGAGACTCAGGCATGTTGCCATATTTAACATTACATGTTTATGTTGCGAGCGTTACCTCAATAGAATAAATAGTGGGAAGCATCCTGTAACAGCTGCAGGTTTAAATAGGACCTGCATTAATGAATAACTTAAAATAGGCCTCTACACGCGTTAATGTTCTACAGCGTACATAATGACTCTTACGTCGCAAATGAAGTAAAATAAGTAAATAGAGAAATGTACCTATATCTCCTGTGCTTGCCATTTTCCACTATCTGATGCAACAATAACGTGTCCGGAAACCCTGATAGGAAATCACAATGAAACACAGGACATGCAGGAAAGCAATGAAGTTTGACGGATCTCTAGATCATTTACACGGCTCTCTTGCGTGTCTTATCCATAGACTGTATGGTCTTATCACATACAGATCCGATGTCCTTCTGCGCCGATTACGCGAATAGTACTTCCGGACACATTTTAAAGCTCCCTTCGTTCCAAAATAAAAGTCACATGCCAACAATAATTACTTGTATAATACCGAAAGGGACTTTGATAATACTGAGCAATTTTAATGATTAAAGTGATTCATTGCTTACATTAAACATTTCCATTACCATTTTAAACATTTAGTACAAGCTTACATACAGCTTCATTACAAAGATATGTAGGCCTAACGTAGATGGCAAACAGCTTTTAACACTGTGGGTTTGCAGACCTTCTAGTTTTCCATTTATTTCCATATTGTCATAAATTATCAGATTCAATTGTCATATTTTCGTTGCTTTTGTGTGTGTGTGTGTGTGTGTGTGCATGTTTATGGGGTTTATGAGGACACACATTTGTATAATAACATGGGTATGACATAGGTATTACAACGAGAAGGGGATTTATGAGGACATTTTCAGTGCCCCCGTAATTCAAAAGGCTTATAAATAATTCAGAATGAGTTGTTTTGAAAATCTAAAAATGCAGAAAGTTTATAAAGGGGTAGGTTTAGGGGTAGGGTTGGTGTAGGGCAATAGAAAATATGGATTGTACAGTATAAAAACCATTAGGCCTATGGAGAGTCCCCATAAACCATAAAAACAAACCTGTGTGTGTTGAAATTTGTAAATACAGACCACTAGGGGGAATCCAAGTACAACCTCAGAAGGTTGATTGAATGATGACAGTAATGTCATTTTGGGTGAACTATCCCATTTAAACGGAGAAGTCTTACAAAATCACAAGCCAGTTAATAGAGTTATCATTTTTTTTCCATTTACGTGTAACCTGTCTGCCTATAACATCTATATGAAATATGCCTGGTTTAAAATCACAATAATAAAAAAATGGGGAAAACAGTGTCAGTAGCCTATATTTCTTTATTATAAACATTATTAGCGTGTGAATTATTATTAGTTTGTGAATTTCTAAGAAAACACTTGCCAGCAAGATTATTGTTTGTTTTCTTCTTTCTTTCTTTGTTGTTGTAGCCTACGAAATCACACTATTATACTGAAAGTTGCCACGCGCGATTCCATGGCATTCGTTTTTGTTATAGGTCAAGGATCCTGTCAGCCAGCTCTTATCTTAGGACTGTGACTCGAGACAGACTACAGACCCTAACCTCTTTGACAAGGGCGCAGATTACTCATAGCTGTTGAAGGCCAGACGACACAGACCTCCCCTTACAGAATACCAATGGAACGTACAAGAGTGACTCACGTAGTCTGTGAGTCTGCTTGATTTATTTGTGTTGATTGTGTTCGAGATCTCATCATCATACACCAACTGTCCAACTGTTACTCGTTTTACAATGAAACACTTAAATCGCGCTCACAGCATGTCACAGTGGTTGATAATAATTCCAGTTCACCGTGGTTCAGCTATGGCAGAACCTTTTGGATTCACACCTAGATTAGACGAAAGCCAGCTGCAGGGCCCAAGGCGAATATATAGTCATTACAACAACTGCAAATAACTTTCCTTCATGTCTATCTCCATCTGAATAAACCCTTCCATGTACTGTAGTTGTCAGTATGCAACAGCTATGTGACTGTCTGATGCTGGAATGACAAGGCACTGACAGACCTGTGTGACAGTGGTCAAAAGAGTAGGCTATGCTATCCAACACATCAAATTCGCGGACAGTTGTGCGTGGAATTGATAAACAGTTATGTAATAGAATATGACTTTTGAAAGTGTCAAAAGTTTCAAAAGGACACCAAGGAACTGTCATTTTGTCTAAAGTAATGAAATCATCAGCATAACCTGCAATGTATTTAAAAGAAGTAGGTGAATAGGGTTCTGTCAAGACACAATATTTGTGTATTACAATAGGCCTATTCAGTTAAAGGACAGGGCTAAATTTTTAAAGGTAAGGTCAAGGCAAGATACACAAATCAAAAGCTAGTGGTTGTTGATGTTCAGTTGTGTCCTTTATGTCTCAGGGTCAAAAGGTGGACGCTGGACATAAGTAGGCCTATGAGAGAAAGTGAAAGCAGTCGCAAAGTTATGTATATTAATTCCCCATAAAACAACCTTCAGAAGATATTGAAAAAGATACAAAATGTTAGTCCATTCATGTTTTATTTACAGTAAAAAAAGTTAAGTAAAAGGTGAAGTTTAAAAAAAAGTTTGTTTGATTTAAAAATGACTTGATGCGTTTCATGAGAGTTTGAAACAAAAGACCCCCCAGAGCCAGAATTGACTGTAAGGATTAACTCAACTCACAGAATGAATTCAGACACTGTTACTTCAGTGTGAACCAGACAAGCATCATTATCATTACTCAAACTAGCAAACTAGCAATGCTTGGGGAAAGGGGTCCTGCACTGGTGGGGAAGTAAACACTTTTTTCATAACTGTCAATCTCTTTGGGCCTATTTGTCCAATATAAGATTTTTTATCTTTTTATACAGCATATTTTCATTAGCAATAACATACACTCCAGTATAAAGCATCTCTTTGTTTAATTCTAGATGGAAATTGATACAATTAAATTCAGGCAACTAAATGCGTACTTTACCTTATGTAGGCTATATTAAGAAAGTATAGGCACACATCCTAAACCTATTCTTTATTTGCTGACAAGCACATAAAATATAAAGCGGAATACAAAACTACAGATGTAAAAGCTGTGGCTTCCTGAAGGTCAGAGGTTGTTCAAGAATACTAAAAATATTACAAACAAACAAAAAAAGTGTTTGAGCCCTTTCTTTGAGCAGTATGGTTGGGAGGGAACATCTGAAGATGATTAGCTACAGCCAGACTCTAAATTTACCCATCCGGTACCTGCTCCCTTATCCTTCATCCTATAGCTTCTTTATTTTCTTTAGTTCTGTTAACCAATGAAAGTGATGGATGGTGTGCTCAATCATGGTGGTAGATGGCTGAAGGGGTGGGCAGGATGGTTTGGGGCATGTACTGTGTGACATTTGGGGGGGTGGGGCGGGGGTATCTATTAAAAGAGATGTGTTGGTGTTTGAGTCCACAATGCCTGTTTGTTGGAACCCTGTAGGGACACTCAACAAGGATGCCAGAGCCAACTAAAAAAACAGGTATGACCGTGTTTATTTTGTTCATAATTCTTTGACAAATAGCACATTTTAATAAATAACACGTTTTTGTCAGTCAGGAGACTTTTAAACGGTGTTGTTTTGAGTTGTTGGTTGAGGAAATGTTACCTGAATTTTGACCCGATGTGTGCTGGGTTTTCTGTGATTATGTTCTTCTTGATTATGTGAATTGTTGTTCTGTATCATGTGAACAATTCATCTGTAGTAATTTGAACAACATATATTGGGAAATGTCAGTTGATTTGATGAGTAGTTTCATAATATTATCACAATGTTCTTTTTAAAAGTACTGCATGCTGCAGCTGCTGTTTTTTAAGCCTACTGTACGTATAGAAAGCATTCAAAGCATGTGACTGGAGTGTGACAAAGCATGAGCACCTTTCTTGAAGTTCTTCTTGGCAAACAATACATAAATTATAAACTACCTTCTTTTAAACCAAAACACCATTTGATGGCCTATCTAAGCAAAAGTGATAGAATAATGGCAGTGGATTAAAGGACCTTTTTTTCCCAAAATTGCACATAATAACCCTGCCTAAACGGGAATTAAAGGATTGTCATAATGTGATAGCACCTGTTTTGACAGCCTACTGCGGTGATATTCGCTAAGACCTACAGCATTCTAACAATGCTGTTGCATTACTTTTTAGCATTAAGCAATGGAGTTGTGGTAGCCCTAAAATCCATCTGTAGACACTTTCTCCTCCCTTTTTAATCTCTTCAGCATAATTCAAAGGTTCTAGATGAGTGGCTCTCTTCCAGGGGCCAGGGCCAAATGGGGTCCTCGGAATACTTCCAGGGAGGCCCCAATAAGTCTTAAAATGTATGTAGTTATAATCTTAATTGAAATGATAAAAAATATGTACAATATTAAACTGACATACTTTTTAAACAACAAATACCAGAGGTAAAGCTAAGTTAAGAAGGTTGAATATTGTCTTGGACAAAGTTAAAGGAGACCAAAAGGATGAGAAGCACTACCTCTTGACTCATAACAGGACATCTCCACAGCAATATGATCTTAATAATAGTTTATCATGACTGAACAGATTTTCTTTTGAAGGCTTTTGAGTGACACACCCAGGCTCTGTTTGAGGGGTAACCATCAGCATCTAGTATAAGCTTCATGATAAATGTCACCTTCATGAAATAGTTTCCCTTCCATTTCAAATGAACATGTTTCGTGCTTACCATACATTATAGTTCAAAACATATTTACCACAGAGACATCATTAGTTTATTATCACTGCTCCCAACCATCCAGATGGCAGCACTGGAACAAAGACAAT